GTGACCAGGCCTCCTGGTGGATCAGCGCCTGATCAACCAGGCTGTTGCTGCTGGCTGCACGCAAACCAACGTACGAGCCACAGCCCGGCTGATCAGGAACTGACTTTAGGTGCTTGTCCAGTGCCAGCTTGAAGACTGCCAGGGGTCTGTTGGTAATCCCCCTTATGTGTGCTGGGAGGCAGTTGAACAGTCTCGGGCCCCTGACACTTATTGTATGGTCTCTTAACGTGCTAGTGACACCCCTGCTTTACATTGGGGGGATGGTGCATCGTCTGCCAAGTCTTTTGCTTTCGTAGTGAGTGATTTTCGTGTGCAAGTTCGGTACTAGTCCCTCTAGGATTTTCCAGGTGTATATAATCATGTATCTCTCCCTCCTGCGTTCCAGGGAATACAGGTTTAGAAACCTCAAGCGCTCCCAGTAATTGAGGTGTTTTATCTCCGTTATGCGCGCCGTGAAAGTTCTCTGTACATTTTCTAGGTAGACATAACTAAATATCAACCTTGCCAAGTGAACTGTTGCTACACCCGACGTCATCATGTACTGGAATGCGATAAAATTGTTGAGTTTGGAGACAACTCACAAATGTTAAAGAAGTCCAAATATTTTGTCCATACCTGAAATTACCTAGAAGGGATTTCAGGGATAAACGCCCCCGCAGCACGGTCCTTGACCAGACCTCGTGGTGGATCAGGACTTGATCAACCAGGCTGTTACTACTGGCCGCACGCAAACCGACGTACGAACCACAGCCCGGCTGGTCAGGTACTGACTTTAGATAGGTGCCTGTCCAGCGCCTTCATGAAGACAGAGAGGGGTCTATTGGTAATCCCCCTTATGTACAGTGGGAGGCAGTTGGCATACCAGTGTTTCCTGTAGTGGCTTGAGAACAATTTGACGAGCATTGCAGTGCTGACATTTTGAGTGGGACATGCCAGAGGTTCACTTATAAACATAGTAAGCTTGTGGTGATTGGCTTGTACACAGTGAACATTCATCTGTCATACGTGTGCTAGAAGTGTTAAGTGCTGCTTTCCCCAACAGTTAATTGTCATTTGTAAGCCTGTATTAAGACTTTAAAAGGCTCAGAGTGTACTTCAGTGTAGTGACTCCTTACATTTGATAAATCAGTGTAATACATGCTCTGCTCAGTGTAACTGAACTATTAAATACGGTTACATAATTAAGTTGCTTGTCCTAGTGTCATTGCTGTGTTTTCTAATACATTTTTTTCGTTCAGGGCTGAAACTTTACTGCTAAATTCCCAGTAATATTTCAAATTGCAGTTTATCTGTGGTGTGAGTGTGTAACTTATGCTTTGTATTTTTACTGGAACAAGCTTACTGCTGCATAATGTTTGTTTTGAATACTTTTTTACTTGATAATTCGGTTACCCTTTTAACGTGTTAAGCAAGAGTCAG